AAAAATAAATGGTATGTTCTTTTGCAATCAAAATATATGCCCTGCTGTCAATGAATATATTCTTGGTTACAGCACCAAGAGGAAATTTTTGCTTTTCCTCCTCCACCTCTCATCCAAATTTCTTCCTCAGGGTTGCAGAGTATGAGATGAGCAACGTGACCTTGCAGTGACAGAATTTTAATGTGTGACTGGTGCACCAAAAGCAATGCAGCAGCGTCTCCCTGCTTAGTGTTGCTATGTATGCTAGACATTTATGTAACACTGCTTCTCATCCTCAAGGCTGCCCTTTCCTGGGGTCAGCAGCAACAAACACAAAATTTATTTATCGAACTGTCAACATTATTTACAGCTGACACGGAGAACTCTACACTCAAGTATTTTGGTGAAAAGGAGTTAACGTGTAAAGCTATTCCCAATTCCAAAGCTGCAGAAAAGAAGTAGATTTTTTTTAAAATGGGTTAATTTGAAAGAGTAAAGTGTTTGTTTCAAACAAATTGCTTATTTCCAAGTTGTTTGCTAAAGTATACTAGTTTTCTTCTGGGCTTTAGCACTGAGTTGTGCATGGAAATGCAAGGCTTTTGCATATATTAGCTCTCAACCCCCAGGGAGAGACTGTATGTACATCTAGAAAATGGGGTTTGCTTTTAATTTCTAAAATTGAGAAGCCAAGAAGAATGTCTCCTCCTTCCCCTTGGCTCTCAGGTTCAACATATTTTATCTTGTTCATTGTTGCCCTCCTTGATTTGCTCTTTAGTTGACAGCAGTTTACCTGAAGCATCAGGATCAGGCTTCCCTCTTATCCAAGCGCTCTGTCAAGAAGCAATCTGCAATTGGGATGAGTGGTTTTTTCCAGCTTCCTCTCTGTGCCCATGAAATAATGGGACAGATCCACTGCCCTTAGTACAGATCCGGCATCTGTTTCTTACAAATAGGATCCTTCTAGAGAATATAACACTTCAGGCACAGCAAACCTTGAGATCTACTGCAAGATCGGAGATACTCATACATCAGAGGAAGTGCACAGCAAAATGGATCCCATCCTTCTTACAACATGGGTGATATAACTAGCAGGACAGTAAACCTTCAAAAATACTCATCCAGCCCTTTAAGTAGAACCATTTTTTGCTCAAAACCGGTGTGTAAGAGCATTTATTATACATGTCAGTCCAGCAGAGGATTCAGGATTTAACCTTAAAAGATGCTGTCTAATTAATCTATTGTACCTACAAAGGAAATTCCAGAGTTTCTAGGATTTACTAAGCTTAGTACGGGCACTAAAATATCAGACTCTTTATGGGAATGAAGAGTCTCATCTCAGCTCCATGCATCTCACCAGTGCATCACCATAGTGGCCTTAATGAAATACACCAGCAGCAGAGATGATGCAAATCCCAAATCACCATTCACAGTTGAGTCATCAGCTATATTATATATATCCCTGAAAAATGTACATTCATAGCAGAAAATCTCAGTTCTGCACAGGCACCAGCGGCATTTATATTAAACCTTGTTGTTAAATCCTCTTTGCTAAAACAATAAAAACTGGTTTAAACTGTGAGGTGGAAAATCTGCAGACAAATCAGATGTATAATCCAGAGAAGAATAGATCCAGTTTGTCTTATATCACACTGGCAAGTTTATGAAATGATTGCCAGGCTGAAGTGAAAATTAATCTCCCTAGAAGCCCTTTTTTTAAAAAAAAAGGTAAACATTGCATTTTAATAACTGACTTATGAGCCTTGAACTGCTATAGGCAATGACTAGTTAGACATGTGCCTGCTTCTCCTAAATCACGTCTTGCAGTTTGAAACTAAAATCTGGTGTGTTAATGTTGAGCAGAAGTTTTTCTCTTAGGCTGCTGTTCTACAAGTCTTACCAAACCATTACTTCTCTGCTCTGTTAGGCTGTTACAGCTGAATTAGTCTCCAATGTGGCTCATCTGCTACTCATATTATCTGCCCCTTCTCAGCCAACTCCAATCTCCTTAGCTATGTGCTAGCAGGATTAGGAGCAAATAGACAGCTTCTGCACTTGCTTGCACTGGTTGTAAAAAGTGCTCACAGGTTGCTCCATGCTTAGATCAGACTGTGCATGAATGCAAATATACGTAGTACTTCCCTTACCTGCAAGACACATCTGCTAACAAGGTGGGTTATATATATAATATATGCAACCAAATAAAACAATGGGGATTTAGAGCTGAGAGTGTAAGCCCATGATGAGGATGCAGTGGAAAGTGAAATCATAGAATCATAGAATCAAAGAATCATAGAGTCATAGAATGGACTGGGTTAGAGGAGATCTTCAAGACCATCTAGTTCCAGCCTGCCTACCATGGGCAGGTTGACCCCTCAGGTTACTCAAAGCCCCATCCAGTCTGGCCTTGAACATTTCTAGGGATGGGGCAATGACAACTTTTCTGGGCAAACTATGCCAGTGTCTCACCACCCTCACAGAAGAGAATTCCTTCTTAATATCAAATCTAAACCTGCTCTCTTTCAGTTTAAAGCCATTACCCCTTATTCTATCATTACATACCCTTGTAATAACAATGTGCACAGTGCTTTCACACACATCTTCACATCAAGCTTGTGCAGATAGGAGTCTTCAGAGAGAGGATTTATCTGTTTTCCCTTTAAAGCAACTGTTCTTTAGTCTGTTGTGGCAAAACAATCAGCATTTTGCAGAAAAATGGATTTGGCTTAAATTTTCTACCGTAAGCAGTGAAGTCATCAGCTAGGTGTCTGTGGTATGCAGTGGTGTCCTCTCCCAGCCCAGGTTCAAAGTTTTTTGTTGTGATCTCTCATACTGCTTTCAGTCCTGTCTTCTAGAAGAGCAGATAAAAGACCCTGGAAGAACTCACATGCTAGTAGTAGTACCACATACTGAGATAGGGAAGTGTTGCTTCAAATACAGGGCTGGAATAATCACTGTGGAGGGACAGGCTGTCTTGCAGACTTCAGAGGTGAAAGTCAGTCTTCATCAGGCCTTCCCACACAACATTAAAGTTCGTCTCTGCACTCCTTTGTTGTGGCAGTGGACATTTACTCACACAAGCAATATCAGTGCTATGGGAATAGGATGTCTTGGGTAAATCTGATTAATCCAGCTGCTAGCTGTGTAAAGCCCTGAATCCCACACTGCTGCATGAGGGCTGGATTCCCAATGCAGGGAAAGGGCTTGGTTTCCATCATGGCATGGAAACATTCTTGCTTTAAAAAAACAGCCCTGAAACATTTCTGATGAATAAAACACAATGATCCTGCTGAGCAAACACTGATGGGCCTGCAGCTTTGTGACTGAGTCAGAAGTAGCAGAATTCATGGTGGGATCCTTCCCTTGCCAGCGGGACACTTATGATGAACTCACAGAACACAGTATAAAGTGCAAAGTGATGCTCAGTTACATAAATTCAGTCGATCTGCAAATGTGGAATTAAGTGCTGTCAGCCTTCACTTACTCATCTGGCACTGAGTTATATTTTCACATACACTTGGCTTACAGATAAAAAAGTAACAGAGTTTAAAAGAGGGCCTGACTTTGTTTTGCAAGATGGAGACACACTCAGAAACAGCAATGTCAACACAGCCTGTAGAAAGATTGTGTATCATAATATCTGCCACTCCTGAAGCCAAGTCACAGTCACTAACAACTCTGAAGCCTTTTGCCCCTCTAACAGAGCTATAGTTCAAGAAAAAAAAAGCAGTTGAGGCTTTTAGACTTTCTCCAAAGTCAGCCACATCTTGTCTAGAGATTACTCATATGATCAATAGAAAGGTTTACCCAAAATAAACACAAGTACATTTGCATAACAATTAGACAGATCTTTTTACTGCTTGTGCACTGAAGTGATCCCAAAACATTAATTAAGCCTCACAACACTCTAGAAAGGCAGACAGTCCAGAGCTTGTTTTACAAGTGGATCAAACAAACATCTGAGGCTGACATAGCATGAAGACGGAAAGGGAAGAGCCTGGATCTGCTTAGATCTTGCTATGACAGCACAGCCTAATGTAACAACAGGTGTTTAATATGCCTACACGCAGCCATGACTCCTGTTACAATGCAGAACAAGAGCACAGTACTAGCACTACTATTTTAATTATAAAGTGTTACCTATAAAGAAGCTGAGCCAGAAAATATAATCTGCTTTAGCACAGAGCTAACTGCAAAACTAGCTGCTCATTATATGGTAATGGAACCGATATCTATCAGAGAGGAGATGTGAAACCACAAACAACTTTGTGATTAAAAGACTCTAAACTGTAATTCAAAAGCATGAGATACTAGATCCTGAAGCAAGAGGAAAAGATCACTGTCTGATTGTGGTTAATAGATGTAGGCATGATTTCAACCATGCTCTATGCAGGTAGTATTAGAAACAAATCTTACTGTTTAAAAAGTGTCTAATCCTTTGCTGCATACCTCTAGTTTTACAGTAATGGGTGAATGAGATCCAATAGGAAAATAATGGTCCTCCCAGCCTCAAAAAGAAAAAAATTAAAATCAGTAGCTGAAATGTAGGCTCCCATCTCACACTGCATTTCTATTTTGACTTCTCTCATCTGGGCTACTTCGAGAACTCTCATCAGTAGGAATTCATCCATCTCTGTTCTTTCCTTCCTCCGTGAATTTCAAATTGGACAGAGCCAGAGGTAAAAACTCCAGTTGCAAGTCCAGACACTGAGGAACACATTCCAATGTGGCTTTACTGATGAAACTCCACCCTGATGCTCACTGAATGCAACTTCTTCGCAGAAGCTGCCAAGGTAAAGACCCAACTCATTCTCACTAGTTACACATACAACATGCCTATACACCACCTACGAGAAAAATGCTTCCCTCTGAACATTGATACTGATACTTGCAAACTCCTGAACAGTGTGTGCATTGTGAGTGAAATTTTAATGTCTTTTCCACTAAAATAAAAAAGGCTGTCAATGGAAAGACGTAAATGAAATCAAATGCACTGTGCTAAATACAGGTGAACCACAGGCACAAGACTTCTTGAGCCATCTGCCACCTGTGTATGCTGGAAACACTACATGCTCCCAAACTACTGCTCCCAAACTTCTGCTGGAGATTAAGGGGAAGGTTTTCAGCATGTTGGTGATGCTGCTCTATTAGGAGGCACTGGAGCAGTGACTATTTACGCCAGCTAAGTGTCTAACTCCTGCTTAAATTCCCTCTTCTTGACAAAATAAGGAAAAGGGAGAAAAGAAGAAATAAAGCTGGATAGGTTATTGGATGGAGGAAAAAAAATCATGCTCCTCAGAACCAGAAGGCTATAAAGTGCCTGTTTCAACCTTTAGCCCTTGCATGGCAATTATGAGCAGAAAACAGCTGTGGAAAGGAGAAGGGAAGGAGAGCTTAAATTTGGATGTTTCAGATTTTCCCCTTTGGAGCATACTGAAAGCATACTGCAGCTCCTGCAAGGTTTCTGTCTGCACACACCATTCAAGGAGCCACAGTGCTGAGGACTTCATTCTTACTCTGCTGTAGATCTCATCTCATCTCATCCTGCTTTTAGTGACATCAGGGCAAACAAAGGTGGCTCCAGGGAAAGTAATCAAAAGATCATAGTCAACCAAACATACTGGGACCTTTAAAACTGGATTTCAACCTGCTGCCTTGTAAAATAATCAGTAAGAGCATCTTTAGGTATTTGACATTTAGGGCATGTGAATGCAGAGTGAGTGCAACTTCCATATTGTGTAGTATAATAAAAACTTGAGTGCCTATCTGCTCGTGTTCATCACTTTCTTGCTCCATAAATCATACTTACTCTGTAAACCCACTGAATGCTGAATTGATGCAAGATAGAGAGTTCTCCATGTATAGCTGCTGCTTGCCAAAAGGCTGTGACTGACATCACGGTAAAGGCTGCCCACTGGTGCTACACAGTTATGCTCACATTTCCTTAGGTTAACTTCATTATAGAAGTAGACTAGTGAGAGTAACACTCTATATTTTAAATATAGAATCCCAGTTCTGCAATGTATAATAAAATCTTTAATATGGAGTGTTTTCACCCCAAAGCCATGAGATTTTAATACCAACAAAAGCAAGAGTCTTTGTAATACACTATGTTTTGTCATTTGGATAAACCTGGGATTTGGTTTACTGATCCAGCTTCAGAGGACTGAAGTGGAAGAAGTTTGAAGTGGAAGAAGTTTAAGCGTTCCACAGATTCTTCCTCCCGTCAGCTTTCAAAACAATTATGTCTCTCTCCAGCTTCTGTACTTTTTAATTAACAGAAACAACTCCAAAGATCACTCCTGCCACAAATATTGTGTGAGCGTATTTGAGTATAAGCACTGATTATTTGTTGGTATACTGCTGCATTCACAGTCTTAAATAATCATAAATAAAAACATCTGTGCTACACTTTGGTACATTTCTATCTGTTTAAACCACAGATGAACTTCTAAGTTGTACAAAATAAAAAATTGCACTTTTATCTTCTGGTGAGTCTTGCTAGTCCAACAGACTTTCAGCTGAAGGATTCTTTATTGTACTCAAACCTTGTCCCATAAGAGTTGCTGCTGTTGCTCAGTTTATGAAGTATCTTAGAGATTTTGTTTGGTCCACAACAGAAAACTCCAATGGTCTTCCTGTTATCAAAAAAAAAAAAAAAAGAAAAAGAAAAAAGTTATGACATTGTGAATAAACAGCAACATCTAATGATAGACAGAATTGGATTCTGGCCTCACTCATACATAAGTCAACTACATATAGGTTTTACGGTGAGAACAGCTCATTAGGTCATGCAGTTAGTATTACTGAAGCCACCATATCTCTCTCAAGTATCCCCACAATAAAATCTATTACTTATCTGACTATGACAACTCTTAGGAAGAAGTGCCTCATCTTGATTTCAAGAAAAATTATTATTTTCCACTCCATTTTTATTTTCATAATTAATCACCTTTTTGTGAAAAATGTGTCTCACTGTAATGACTTCATTAGTGTAACTCGTGATTTACACCATCAGGAGATCAAGTCACTAACAGTGATTTGTTGCACTCATGAAAACAGAGCACTACTAACCCATGATTGTTTCTGGCAGCAGCAGAATAATTTTACTGCTTTACTTTCACATTAGTATGCAGTTTTTCCTTCAACATCTATATTGGGAAATCTTAGGAAAAGTCAAACACAGAGTATGATCCTTGTTCTTCACCTATAGGTCTGAGTCCAGGTTCTTTAGTTAACTTGACTTTTTCACACCACTCTACTGACAGCAGCTCTTTGCTCTCTGGTCACCTTAAAGATGGTCTGTAAATCAGATTGATAGTCATACAATATCTAAGGGCTCAGAACTGTAGTCGGCAACAGAACAGGGCACATCCACCACGGAAGGACTGAGCCATTCACAATACTCATCACCTCCCTTTTTTTGAAAGATGAGAAGGGAAAGGAAGGAGCAGGGAAAGAAAATGCAGTGCTGCCTCTTCCACATCATGAAAAAAAAAACATTATCTTCCTGCTGAAATTGTGCCACTACAGATAAAGATCTTAAAGATTTAGTGAAATGAAGAAAAAGCATACAAGAGTGAACGTGGTTCTAACTATAGTGATCTACAGCACTCACCAAGAGGCTGGAGACTTGAATTCTGGACCCTGCCTCCGGGATTGCTTCAGTATTTTATCCAATAACTATTTAATATTAAATATTTTAGCACATGCTGGATAATCAAACACAGTTTAAAGCTCACTGTGTATGTGTTTGCTGAGGGAAGGGAATTAACACATACAAGAAGAAATCTTTGATGCATACTGTCAAGTATATATGATGATAGGCAGCTGCTCGAATAGCATGGCAGTGCACACTGTACCACTGCACAGCAACACTGGCATTGTACAACTGCGGACTCAAACATTAAAAAGCATCACAAAGTTAGGTAGGTAACTGTAGAGGTGTCCTTGTGCAAGCACCTTACAATGCTGATTTTAATTGCCTTCAATTACATCATCTCTCATATTAATCCATGGCAAGTATTTATAACCCATTCTCTTCTCACCCTTATATATACCTATTAAGCTTTCCTGTCCTAGTAGTACTCCTTTTAATGGCAAGGGATGTTGTGCTGGTGGCTGAATTTTCAGCAATAATGAGAGTACTATTGCTCATTGCTCTCAAATAAGATTTCTCAGCACCTGTAGACTCTGAAGTCCCTCTAATCTGTGCACACTGGAGAAAAAGGATTCATGAGCTGCCAGCAAGAATCTGTTCTCTACTGTGTATTTAATTGAGAGAATTAATGTTGTTGTTGGTTTTTTGGTTTTTTTTTTCATTAGTCTAATTAGTACAACCAACTGATAAATCCCAAAGAGTTTCTCTGCCCCTCTCCCTTTCATTACATATAAATTACCACTAAAGTAAAGACATGTCTTAGCAGTACATAATGCTAATATATTCCCATCCCAGCAACATCCTTCCAAGGTACACAGAATTTTTGGCTAGTAATCAGAACCACAGAAAGGTTAAATGATTTGCCTAAAGTCACAAAAGAGACCTGTGGCTAATAACGTCTCCGAAACCCTGGTGAACCACTGCTCGTGCAGTGAGCCAGAGGCTCTCAGACTTCCTTCACAGGATACCCAACACCAGCATCTATTCTGGACATCTCCCCACATACCACTTACCTCCCACAGTTCATGCCCCACTTTCTCCCTCACCTCTATCACAGACTTCCCTGCTTGCAGATACCTTCCTCTCTGCCAGCAGCTTGGCTCCTGCCAGGTTGCTGTGACACAAGCAGGCAGGTGGTTGAGAGATGCTACTACATGGAGCAGCACTTTACTACCCTGAGCTGAGGGGCTTTAATTGTGTATCAGTTGTCTGGGACAAAGGTTTACTTTGTTGCTAGAAGAAAACAGGTAGCTGTGTAGTGCTATGTCTGAAAATCTTTATAAATACCACTAACATGTTTACAATTAAGGAATCTATGTTCTAGGCCATTCTTTGCAATAATTATAAACACCAGTACAGGATTTTACTCATTCAGAGCATTAAGCAAGTAAAGCTTCAGTGATCCTATGGGATGAGTAGGTCAGCACATATTCGTACATCCGTTTTATGAACAGCTGGAGGTGAGGGAGAGATGAAATGCTTTGCTACATTGAGAAGATACAGTCAGGACTTAAAAAGACCCTGTTTTAAATCCCACATTCATTTCTAGAGAGATGTTTCTCCTTTACATCACATGAAAAATGTATCATGGTGCTCCATGCCTTTTTCTCCTACAGATATTCATATCTTTTTCTAGGTCAGTCTCCACCTGGAGGACACACCCATTTGACCTAAGCAAAACTGAGCACAGTGTAAGCTTTTCATACAGAACCCAACTGAACAGGAACAAGACTGCTGCTCCATCCCCCTCAAAAAAGCAGGGAAAAAAAGACCAGTAATTTGTTATATTAACAGTCCCAATGCACATTGCTGGGACTACAGATGTCATATGAAATATCAACAGTAGATGGCATGCGTCTGCTCCTCTTTTCCAGAAAAAAGGATCAGGAACCTGATGCTGGGTTGCCCTATGTCACGCTCTGAAGGTCTAGCAAAGCTCAGACACTTACAAGTGCACTTTGCTTATTTGGGACTCAAACAGCAACAACAGCAACAATGCACAAAGCACACAGCAATCAAACGGCTACACTGTGAGAGCTTTGCCAGCTGCCTGTTATTTATATGCAGCTTTTCCTAAAATCACAAATAAAAACTGGAAAATATCTCAGCTGCACATAAACAAGCCCAAGGGGATGATTGCAAATGTGAAAGCCTGAACGTTGGCACCAGATGTTGGAAACAACTCGATTGACCTGTTTTGTTTTGTTTGGGGTTTTTTTCGTCTGTATTGCAGCAGGGACACCTACATGGAAAGTTACTGAGAAATAGGAACTGAAATAAAGCTAATAGCAGACCTAGAAATTGGACTATAGAGAAAAACTGACGTTCCTGTCTCATCCAAGGAAATATGGAGAATAATCACCTACAAGAGGTAAATTTCTGTGGGACAGCTGCAGTTGTTACAGGTTTCAGTACCGTGCATCATGTTTCATGTAACTATGTCTACAGATATAGACCTGTATAAACCCTGATAAAAAGGTGACCAAGGGTGACGAAGAGTACATCTTAGTAAGCTGCAGGTAATCAAAGGAGTCGGAACATTATTTAGGTACTAAAAGACACCTTGTTTGAAAATCGTGGCACAATTTAAAGGTCTCATGTGAAAACGTAGAGAAAATGGTACTTGAAATCTAATTAGGAGTAATGCAGTGGAAAGTAAAAAACAAAAAGCAAGTATGACTACTACTAATAGTTTAATCTATATTACGTGCACTTACAGCCTTGCAAGGAAGTGGCAGAAATCATCATTTTCATCTTTTAAAACTGCACTCACACAGTTAAACAAACAAAAAAAAGACATTAGCATGGAGCATAAAAGATCAACAGTCTTCTACATAGAGGTCTCTGAGCCCAGAGAGTCAGCTTGCTTCCATGACATATTTCCCTTCCTTTCCCATATTTCTTTACTCTAAAACCCTTCTCCAAGTGTGAGAATTCTACCATGGATGTCCCTCTGCAGCAGCCTTTGGAATGTCCTGACAAGGGACCCTGTCCACAACATCCTCTATGATCTGAATCCAAGAAAAATATTGTCAGCAGCTCACACTGCCAACGTGATACATTTGGTACTCAGTATTTCTCAAGAACCAGTGCTCAGTGTCCTCAGTCATATCTGGCCTGAGAAGAGAAGAGTCAATAAGCCATGCGCAGATTTCACTTTGCAAGTGCAAGAGAAGACAAGAAGTTCTTGAGGGAAAATTTTGCAGATGAACATGCAAGCACTTCTCAACCTGATGCACCCAGATTACTATCAACAGCTACTGTGGTTTGCTTCCACACCACTGGCATTGCCAAAAGTAGATTAGGGAAGATTCACACAATCCTTTCCAGCAGATTAGTTTTTGAGGCAAAAAACTACCAGTGGGGGGTAAAATACTCAACCAACAAAGCTGGATCTGGACAAAGACATTCCATAGTCTAACTGCATGTCTTCTCTGGTTTACAACCGTCTTGTTTCAGACCATAATATGTTTTCCTAGTACAGTAAAAAGGCATTGCCAGGTCTTAACAAAGAATAAAAAACTGCCAGAAATCTTCAAAGACAATATATCCTCTGAATAAAAACAATACAAGTCAGTCAAGGTCTTCCTTGTGAATTTTTTTTGTAAACTAGCACTACAAATCATGAAATTTATAGGAGAAGTCAACAATTTAAAAAAGTGCAACCTCATATATAAAACCAGCATATGTTGAAAGCAAGACATTGCCATGGACAAGAACATAGGGAAGCTCTGTGCAGTGAGATGAAAATCTGCTATTTTTGTTTCCTGGGCCACTGAACATAGCTGTGTAAAAAGCTGAACTGCTCTGTGTGTGTAAAAAAAAAAAGTGTTTCTGTTTGTACAGGCTACCTCTCACAGTAAAATATTAGTGAATTTCAACATTACATTACATGATAAAACCCAGAAATATTTTCATACCAACATAGCTAGACACACATATCCCCAGCCATCAAACTGTGGCATCCTTCAAGCAGACCATTACTTACCGCCTGTTACACTTTGCTATGTCATCAAACAGGAGTTTCCACTGGGGTCGTCCAATCAAAAGCCTGGAGTTTAAAGCTTGATATTTTTCACCAATTATTTTCTGCAAGAAACAAAAAAAACTCCACTGTGCCTGATTTGCAAATTGCCTCATATCACCCAGGGCTCCCATTTCTGACATTGGCTGACTTGCCACATTGCTGAGATATAAAACCTGAGCACAAGTACCAAAGAGTTGTGATTAAAACTGCAGCTATTTTATGCTCTGATACCTCTGCTCAGTACCTTTTCAATGGCTCTCCTCGGTGTTCATTATACATTGTTCCTCTGCAGCTGCTCATTAATTTCCACATTACTTTTAAACCAATTTATTTAAGCCATAAAACAATAACCATGCTTCTATTACTCATTCCCTCACTGCCTTTTAATGCTAAGCTGGAAGAAACACTGTTGATGCAAAAATCATATTTCTGTCTGAAGTAAGCCTTTTTTTTAACTTTGTACAAGTAACTATTAAGATTACTAGGTCTGAAAAAGTAACAAGGGAAATCTTACTTTCCTCCCTGAGAGTAGTTTGCCAGCTGTTTTGAACTGCTGTGAGAGCAGAAAGCAACTAAAAACTACTCCCCAGATGGAACCAAATCCATTTCAGCAGTGCTAACTCACAGCATTTTGATAAGGTGGAATGCCCTCCCGTTGCAGGGCATGACCCTTCCTTGGTTTGCTATCCTAATGCGACAGAAAGGCAGAGAGAGGTTACACCTTATCTAGGCTCCCACATTCCCTCCTCTGCTGAACAACCTGACACATTGCTCATACCAATGCAAACGCAGAGCTTTGGCCAAGTCATCCTCTGTTGGGCTTTTATAGACAGGAGGCATTTGCTGCAGGGTGGCCTTGGTTCCCTCTTACCACACAGGCACAGGGCTTCTCTGCAAAGGGAGCATGAAATGAAACTGCCCTATTTTTGGTAGCAGTCAGCACTTTGGAGTAACAGCAGTGAACACATCAGCTATATGGCAATGGAGAGTTGAGTCTAATTCCCCCTTGAGAAATTATGAACAGCATTATGATTTATGTCAGCATTGTTCAATAGTCATAAAAAAAAGTGTCTTTAAAGAAAGACTTCAACCAAAAAGCTGATTTAAATAAATTCAGCAACTGCTTGATCCATAATATCAGAACACTTTCTTTGAATTGACTATTATTTCAATTTTGCTGTGTCATTGCATTGAAGTCCTGCTTCTGCTTTTAATTTTAAGCTAACAATTACATACCAGCTTCATAAATTAGGTATTTTCAAGTACCCCATTTCAATTGACATATGCTGTCCAGACAGTACATTTGTCATAGTCATAACTACTGTAGCTATCACATCATTTAGACTAGTGTTCCTACCAAGGCTGTGAATGTTATGCTATCTCCATCTGATACTAAGCAGATCAAAATCCTTTGGGTATGGTTTCTCACTGCATTTCTTGTTTAAAAAGTAATTGTTAGGCTTGGTTCTGGGCCCCCTGCAGTCACTTGAAAGCTTCCTGACATAGCAGGGTAAAGACTTGTATCTAGGCTTATGTGCTAAATAATGTAAAATGAAGATTGCTAGCGTAAATGGTTACAGGAGATGCCAAGATTTGGGGAATTAGCCCAGCCTGGGGTTTGGTAATACATGACAATTGACAGTTCAGTATAATTTTCAGGCTCATACATCAAGAAACTTCTACCTTCTGTCTATATTTGAGGCAATGAAATAAAAAGCTTTTTAAAATAGCTAGTTTCTCTCAAAATATAGATGAGAAGATTGAGCTTGCAAGTTCCTAGAACTATTCTGTTTTGATTCCTAGCCCAGAAACAATGCAGATTCCCATCAAACATTTCCAACTGCCTGGTCTGCAGCCTGGCATGACCTCTGTCCTAGAAAAGGAAGATATGGATTTCTACCCACACCTAAGCAAGTTAAGGGTACCAAACTAGATTGTCTTAATGCTGTAGGGATGGACTGGTTCTCTTTCTCTAGTAATGAATCAGTCATCTGAGTTTATGGTCTCATCTCCTGTTTTTAACATCTGCAGTAATCCCCTTTCTACCTTCGACTGACAGTTTGCATTGCCTATTACTCCAAGGTCTAGTTCAGTTTACAAACAACACTTGGCCACATACCTGTATTCCATCTGTTTGACTGAGGTACAGCTGGATATTAATATAGTCTGGCCGATTCTCCTGCCAAAGCTGGAAGGATGATAAAAACAGCTAGTGAAATAACATTCTTTCTCTTAATCTAAGTGTGAAGTCACTTGTGCCTTCTATGCTGAGGGATATAGGTTTCAGCATCAGTGAAGTAAGTTTTTTAATGGAGAAGATATGATTGCATAGCACCCCTTTGTGAATGTTGTACATCATGCTGTGTACAAAATATTGGTTTTGGAAGCTACACGGCTCTTACAATCCACCTGAAATTGCAAATCCCCCTCCTTTCTCGATCTGCCTACTGTCCAATGCCTAAAGGCCACTCAGACTTCCCAGCCTGCATGTCCTTCTTCCATCTTGCAAAGTAGGATGGACACAGATAAGTGCAACAGCGTGCAATAAAATATTGGTCATAGGTACTCAAACTGTTTCATGCAGCTCCAAGAATAAATGGAGCCTGGGTCAGGCAGCTCAAGCAGAACTACCACTGGAGCTCATTTGTTTTGAGCAAGGCTACCATTCTCTATAGCGTGCCAGTTGTGTGATGTGGACATACCTTGCATTTAAGTTGTCAGTATCCCTCCAAACACCCATTACCTTGTTATGCAACATACATAGCAGATCTGCAAACCAGCTAAAAGATTCAATGTCCCTGCACACCCAAATGAAGTAGAGTCTTCTGAGCTTGTAGCATTTCCAGCCGTCCCTTGAAAATAAAATGTGTGGGTAATTAAAAATTAACATTTAAAAAGAAACATTAATTAATATGCTTTATATTCATTAACAGAAACATGAATTTTCATTAAAGGCTAACTGCTAAGTTGTTCTTTAAGCTATGATACATTAGACACTGAATTGATCAATGCAGCCTATTCGAATGATTCTGAGAATATTAAATCTCTAATGCAGAGCTAACAGCCATCATAGGTACTGTTTCTACACTAGAAGTTGTCAGCAATACAGATGATTTGGGCAGCATATATGGATTCATGCATCATCATCAAACTTTTATTTTAAAGAAAAGGAGACATTCTAAGTTCAAGTGTATTATGTCAATTCATTACTAGGTTTATAAAGCGACCCATAAGTGGAAAGTGTTGACAAATGCAATAATGTCAAGACTTAATTCTGGTTGATTACAACTAATAATAGCAGTAAAATCACAAAGACCAAATCAAATCAGGGTTTCATTGTGTTAGGGGACTGTGTGATATATTACAGACCTTAGGAAATGCTGGTGGGTAAAGTGCAGCCACAGGCAGATTCTGGCATTGCATTTACAAAAACGGGACTCTTGTGTCAGATTTCTAATTCAATTAAACCACAAATAAGCACAAAGGAAGGATTTGAATGAGCTGGTAAATAAAATAGAAATGAAAAATGACCTGATGATTAAGGAGTTCAAATAAAGCACAAATATTCATGTTGGAGTACAAAAATGAGAACTGGAAAGAAAGCATCAAACTCAATAGTCCCCCTGCAGAAGAAAGCATCATCTAAGCAGATATGAACTTTTGTGGACTATGGAAGAATATGTTTTGGGTTTTATATTATGTTTCCTATTTTATTGTATAATTTCCCTTATATTGTACCCCAGGTTTCTGGTATATTCCCTTATTCCTCGTGGTCCTGAATCCTGTTCTCTCACTGGTTGTTTTTTGCTGCATTGCAGTGTTTTTCCATATATGGTTGTGCCCTCCTCTTAATTTGCATGCTCTGCCCTTGCTCGTCCCTAGTTATACCCTTTTTCTAGAATGTTCTCTCCCTACCCTATATAAGGTGAGTGCCATTTTAATAAAGAGGTCATTTCACCTTGGACCCTTGAAGTGTGGTGACCCTTCTCCCCTTGCGAGCCGTCATATTCAAGAAGTATTTTCTTAGTTGGCCAACACTGTTTTCTGTTGTTCTAATCACTGAAATGGTCAGTGAATAGATTGTTTCCTCCTTTTCCTCTGAAATAATTTTCAGATAGAGAAGGCCATAGCCTGCTCACTTCAAATGCTAATCCTAGGAGACAAACCCAATCAAAAAACTTTCATGATACACCTCACCATATCCATTGTGCATTATTCCAAACTCTAAAGCTGGAATATGTATAATTAGAAGAGTATTAATAGATCTATTTAAGTGATGGTTCCAATCACTGTCTTGCCTCCTCATACTGCTCCCTGCCCTGAGGAGCAAGGATAGAGACATCAGCGGCACTTCAGCAGCGTAGAGAGGCTGAGAACTCACCTTTCATGTAAACTTCCCATGGAGAGTAAAAAAAAAAAAAAGACTGGGGAGTACAGTGTCTTTCAAGTCCTGATTTCAACTTTTTTATTTATAAACTGCTGACCTGTCAAACAAGATTTCCTCCATCTCTTTCTGACTGCCTAGACTAAGACAAGCCCTTAGGAAGGGTCATAGTCTGGTCAGATGTGATGAGAACTATAAGCAATAGCAAGCAAAATAAGTGCCTTTCACCACAAAAAAGGACAAAAGAAGAAAAAAATGCAAGGCATTTTGTATTGAGATGCTGCAGTTCAGTAGCAAAACACCACTCATGGTGATGAAACATTGCAGCTGGACAAAGAGGCTGGACTGTAAGACTTCATGAAACAAGTCAAGCATAGATTTAAAATAACATCTTATTTGCCTGAACTCTAGGCTTTCAGCAAAAATGTACCCTAGTTTTGAGAGGATGATTCAGACACTCTAAAGAAAAGAAAATGAGGAAGCACAAGATGCTCTTTGAGGTCTTTTGCACTATGAGACAGGTGAGGCTAATAACTTGCAGTAGCACTTAGCACTGTCAGGTCCAGCCCAGATTAAGGACATAAGAAGGTTCACAGCATCTAAATTTACTTCAGCTTCACTTTGGAGTTAGAGCTGATCATTGGCATGTTCATCTTGGAACAAATGCTTTAGTTGTGCATTTTAAAGCCCTTGTAAAGCTCTCAGCACCTCAGGGAAGGTTTGCTGCTTTGGTTGGCTGTTTATACGGGGCCTTTGAAACAGGGATGCTTAACCTGTGACTGGAGCTCTTAGCCAGTACTCTAACAAATAAAAAGAAATCAATAGCAAACACAAAAGCAAGCCTATTTCACACAGCATAAGATTTGGTGTGAACCATGTTGTCAATGCAACAGAAGAACAAGAGGTAAAAGGTTTGATCTGCATAGAATGTCAAAGGCTTTAAATTAAAAAAAAAATTTTAAAAGGAGAGAGAGAGAAACAAGAAGAAAAAATAAGAAAACGGCATACCTAAAATTTAAACTTTTCAAATGGAGTTAAACATCGGAATACTATCTGAATTCAGGTTGATCCCTTTCTTTTAAAACCTTAAACTTACATATTGACAAAAGTCAAATCAGGAGAGCTGGCCCTGCATTTCCAGCAGAAAGACTGTCACAACTGCCTGACTCTCAAAAACTCACAATTATAGTCTGCAGCCTCATCTGAGATGGGACTAGGGGAACAAGCCTAGCTGAAGGACTGTGACTACATTAATCACAAGCTAGGCTGGTGGAAGTATATAAAGGCTAGTAACACCGTCCCAGTCGAGGTGCATTACTGGCAAAACTCAGCCACAACTCTTTGGGTTACACAGCCAGTATGAGATAATTTATGCCCTTCAGGGATATCGCAGTCCTCTAGATCTCTCCAAGGAATCATTTGCTTATGCCAGTGGAAATTTTTTAAGACTCTCAAAGTTTTTCTGACATGCAGTGCTACTGTAAATTGGGGGGGAAATGGCTTTGAAAGGCCAGCTCACTTACAGCAGTGTGTTGAGTACTGATGCAAATGGTGTAACTCCAATACCTCCAGCCACGCAGAGACTGACCTCGTAGTTCAGTGCTTCCTCAAAGGGACTTCCAAAAGGTCCATCCACATACAGTCTGCATAAAGAGCAAAAAGAACACTTTTAGAGAAAGCTGCTAAAATCAGAGAGAGGAAAAGAAAAGTGAGGTGGAATTAAAACCCTGGAAAGCTTTATGTGGACAGAAATGACTGTACGGGTGGTATGAAAAACTGCTATATAAAATCTCTTGGTCCATTCCATCATTAGACAAGCTATTTTTTAATCAAACAAGTGGAGGTGATTAAGTTATGGCTGCCTTTTGTGTCTGGCATTAGATGGCAAAGAAAGTGCCGCACTAGAAACAACAACAACAGCTTGGTGGGTCTACACAGGATTGAAAAGAATTTGGCTAGGCCTGCCTGTGAGGTTCATCTTATACAGGTTTTCTGAAGAGGGAGAAAAATTGCCAAATTGTTCCTCTTTGACTCATGCTTCTCATTATTATAACCATGTTGTTCACTTGTTTTCAAAGATTATTTAGGAGACTGTGCATACTCTACATAATGAAAGGGCATAAGCTTCTCCTTTATAACATCAGACAGAGAAATAAAGGCAGAAGAGACTTCTCTTTTCCCAGACAAAGTCTTCCAACCCTCATCTGATTATTTCCTTTTGCGGGCTGGATTTTAGCCATAATTTTAAATTCTCGGTCTGATCTCGTTTCTTTTAATTTTGTGGTTTGATCCTTGGCATCATTTTACCAGTCAAAACAACATCTTGTTTGGGTGTCTTTGGCCAATATGATCCTTTTTAGGAAATTTTTTCCAGATCTCTGCTATTGCTGACATCTGGATGCCTAATATGTTAGGCTCCTTCTTCAACAATGTCTTAACTGAATACAGATAAGTACCTACTTTCTGAGGGATCTGGAAGGCGATCCTTAACTATGCCCTGTCTTATAAACTCCCTTCTTAGTGTCCTGCCTGAAGAGAAAGGAAGAAGACACTGGTACAGCCACAGACATTATCAGAAGGCATTGGAAATGCTGACAGTAAATTTTTATAAGTAACAAAACTTTATAACTAGGCAATCTGCAACATAAATATGCTTATTCTCATTTCTGTCTTTATTCTCTACAGAATTCTACAAACCTTCTCTTGGAGAATCTCAAAGGTTTTCACAGTCAGATATGTTAGTTCCAGCATGATGGGAATATTGGAAAAACAAATCCACGCCTTACTTAATACAGATAAATTCTTTTGCAAAATTGGGCCAAGACAAACTTAATTGGCCATGTGTATACAATATAAACAGAACTTTAAGTATCTGCTCATTAAATGTTTCCTGTTACATAATGCTTTATACCACATTTGCTTAACAAGGCTTTATTTTCCACTAATGAATGATACCACTGCTGGTGCAGAGTGCAGCAGCAGCTGCTTTAAGAGATCTAAATGTTGCACTGCCATTTGACTGAGCAGGTGAAGGAGCATCTATTAGTTAAATAAGCAACAGAGGAAATGTTCAGAAGCAGGTCATTACAGTGAAATAAATCTGGTCCACGGGACATTCTGAAAGAAGTCCACAAATGTTATGGGTCTCAGATGTATATGTAACAGATCTAACCGAGATCAAATTTTGGGATATCAGAGTATGTCAAAAAGAAAAAAATCAAAACAACTGAATACCAAAGACAGGCAACCGAGGTCCCAAGTCATTCCTGGCGTACCTCTTATACATGTTATCCTAAGCAGACCGTGCCTAGCTGGTGAAATCTAGAGAATTGCTCCTAAAGGTATGAAGGGCAAAAACACAGGCCTGAGGGAAATTCCTTGCATTTTGGACAAGCAGCACTAACTTTTCTTTGGATACAGAAAGCCAACATTTTGAGTGAAAAACACAAGCAAAAAATATAAAAACGAACTAGCAAAACACATTTTTCGAGAAATTACCACAGTGGATGTGACAATAGTCATATACTGTAGGGGTGCCACTTGGCATAACTGCACTATTTGAGGACTACCTGAAGTATGTATGTCTGATCTCAGAAGGGATTAAGCAATTCCTGGGAAGTCTGAGTGCCACTGAATATCACTGACATGATCAGGAGCTGAAACATGCAAAAACTAGATCCGGTCACCAGAAATTAGTCAAGCAGAGTGCATGCCAGAAATTTAAGAAATAAACTGCAATTAAATATGTATTTTGGTCAGATTGCTCCAGTTCGTGGTCCATTAGCCCCATCTGGCCTGCAAAATATTTCTATTTGCCCACTGTGTCTTCCTCTGAGGGAGTGAGGAGCAGTTGCTTGGATAGCAAATGCAATCAGAAAGCCAAGAACCTCCTACTGTGTCTGCATGTGGTCCAGCACAGAACAGCCAGAAGTCACTGCTTCCAAGTGTGAGAAAGAGAAATGGGGAAAAAGGTGGAGAAATATTGCTACTGAGTTAACCCACTCCACAAGACTGCTTGAAAAGACTGATTCCAAGGATAACATTATGTCCCTGAAAGATTTTGTTGGATGTCATAAACGTGCACCATTTTAATATGGGGATAATTAAAACCAAGATAAATGTGGCCCTGACACCTTAATGGCAGTGGTCATTTAGGAATTGAACCTTCTTTTATTCGAGTCAGTGAAAGCAAGAAACCTTCTGATACCATATCAAAAGGCACAGGGTTGAACAGAGTAGTGATTCAGTCATAGACTTCTGCAGAGATTATGCAATTTTTGTTTCTTGTCAATATGTTCCTCTTTTCGTTTGGTAGGACTGAAAAGTTTTGCATAAAAGTAGTTCATTATTGCAAATGAAATCTCACAGCACTCAATAAAAAGAGAAGTCAAGCCAAGGGGGGTAAGATGACTGTTTCCTGAGTTGTGCCCCAGATATATCACACTACTATGCTATGCTCTCCTATCCCCCCAACTTTAATTTAATTAACATGAAGGCAGGGAATGGAATTTTACTAAAAGTTAAGAAATTGACCCTTCAGGCAAACTTATTCAAATAATGAGTTGTTCTTTCCACATGTATTCATTTCCAGACTTAGGAGTGCTCTCACTTATTCTGGCACAACTTCTTAGCTCAGAAACAGAAAGAAAGGCTCTTCAAAACAGAATACATCACAAAAAAATAGCACAGCACATTATTAAAAAGCATCTTACAGATAGATGGTCAAAATATTTTCTATTTAAAGCATATTTCTGTAGTACAGTGGTACCAAAACGGCCCAGCAAGCACTAAACCAGCTCGTTCCAGTGCTGGGTAATGCAACTGCAGTAACATGGGGCTGTCCCTAAACTGGGCGACATTGTCTCAGAGACAAAGGCAGCTGTACTGGTTTTGAGACCCAAGTTATTATCTTCCATAAGGAATTGCCCAGTGATGTGTGGAGATACCTACTTACCCCTCTTGGACTTGGATCTCCATGCTGTGCTTTACTTCAGGGTGTAGGTGCCCTTAGAAAAGTTTAATGCTTACATTGTACTTCACTACCCACCAGTAAATGATGATAACACCATTTTTTCCAGGCTCTCTGGGACTTACAGTAAGATATTATCTAGGATATTAGTGGAATAACAGATGGATAGGGGAGTTATTTCAAGAAATTGTAGGAAATTTTAATTAAAGAAGTATCATCATTTGCAAGCTGAACAAAATGCTTGGATACAAAGTACTGTATAGAGAACAAAAAGTGAAGTCCTAGTCTGGTTGAAACTTGTGGCAAAGCTCTTACCATTGTCAAAAGAGTAAGGATTTCATGTATTTCAGTAGCATGAGATTTTATATCCTTGGTATTCAGTTCTTACTAAGACCCACATGTAGGTATCTTTGTGTGAGCATACTAAGTTCTTGATAGAGTCACGAGACATAGTCAATACAGTAATGGAGCTGAATCCCTCCCAATTCCTTATAAAACTCCTACATCATTGACTTCAATAGTTAAACAACCCTCCTACCATGCTTGTTCTTCTCTTTTACTTGTCCTACTAAAACAACAGCTAAGTACTGATGGATACAGCCGGAGAACTCCAAGGAACCGAGCAATGGCTGAAGCAGTTTCCTTATGTTCTTCTGCTACTGTAACTCTGATGCACTAGAGAGATGCAATCCCCCCTCTCTGATAACCCACAATACCAGTCTCCACCCCCACATGACAAATATTCAAAAAAGTGCCTCCATGTTCCACCCACATTTCCCTTCATGCCTGGGAGGGACTCTCTGTAAACATCTGAAGAGCTATTTCATTATCTCTCTTCAAATTCCTTCTTAAGAGTCCTCTTTCCTCTGATAGCTGAAAAAACAGACTACTGATGTGCTCACTGTAGCTCAGTGATATTCTGGCTCGGTACTGTCTCACTGTTTCCTGAATTTTGCTGTCTGACTGTATCCATCTGTTGTCTCCTGTTTCTCCAGTTTAAGTTGGTTTGTCTCTCTGCTGTGTGACTTTGTCTATCACGATGGCTTCCTGATGCGTGATTGTTTCTTCAGGGCACTAAGATAATTGACATCAGTGAAGAATTACTGGAAACCACCCAAATCTAAACCTTGTAGCAGAGACAGTCTTTGATATGGTAGGCCTGCAGACAGCAAAACTGACTACTGCAGTGTCCTAGAACATTTTGGAGTCCAAGGCTCAATTCACAGTTCTCAGTAAAAACCTAGTTACAACAAATGACGAGATTTTATTTTTCAAAGAAGCTGCAATTATTACCATCAGAGATTTTCAAATATTTTCTGAAGCAAAAATCAAGACAGCTACTTCATTTTTTAAGTCAATATATAATACTTCATGTCATTATTTAAGCCTCAATATATGAGTGTAAACTCTGATGCTATTTTTCCAGAGGGGTTGTGATTACTGACAGCATTTCAGTACCAAAAGCCTTTTACAGAAGAAGAACCACCACTAAACAAAGCACACCAGCCTTGGTTCATATGGATTTCCAAAACTACAATGGTTTTCAAGGTTTAAAAGTGTCACAAAATGTGACATTTGGCACGTTAGATCAGAGATTCCCATGTGTTCTCTCGAAACTGTGAAGGATGATGTTTCCATTAAAGAAATCCACAGCCCCTTAGACAAGTAAGACTG